ATTCCTTAATAGGGTGTTTTATGATCTGACTTGTCTATAAATACATCCTTAAATGTTTTTGCTGTTAATGTTTTGTTTAAATAAATGCGTAACTGTTCGAAAATTCAAATACGTTTAATTGGAGATATATGTTCATATTTTACACAATAGTAATTTGATAATTTAAACATAAAAAAATTATTTCTAATAAACACCTTGATTTTGAATAAAATAGTGAGAATTAATATGAAAATTCAGCTGATGCAAAATTTTCCTAATATATAAACAAATTCCTGCAAAATTGAATTATTCACTTCAATCTCTTGAGTTGAACGTATAACTTGTTAAACACCAAAAAAAGATATTAAATGGTTGTAAAAGGTTACTTTAACGTTCAAAAATTAACTTTTGCCATTTGTGGTATTGATACGGAAGCCAGCAAATCGGAACGTATAATCAAGCGCCCACATCTCTGTTATGTTCCATTATTTTTTGCCATAACCCATGTTACGGCCATAGTCCACTACGCTTATGTTAATCGTCACGATTATGTTGAAGTAACCGATTCTCTGGCGCTCTCGTGTCAATCACTATTGGCTATAGTGAAAACGATAATATTTATCGCAAAGCGTGAGCAATTTGTAAGCATGATACGTGAAGTGCATTCGGGAAATTTCAGGGGTAAGCTGAGATTTTTTTTAAATGAATTTTAACTGATTTGTGGTATGGTTTTTCAACAGCCGGTAACGAGGAATTGCCAATGATACGTTCGGAAAATTTTAAGGATGTTACCTTCTGCACCATATACTTTAGAGTAGTTTCTTTTGCTGCTTTCACCGCTTTTTCAAGTCCAATTTTGGAAGCTATATATTTTTATGTCACAACTGGAAAGTTGATTTTACGTGTACCTTATAAGGCGAGGTAAGTTTTTTTTTGGAACAGATCATCATAAAGTCATCAGATCATAAATAAATCATCTAAATTTTATATCTTATTATTATTAAAATTAATATAATATCTCTATTAACCCATTTACAACTTAGACTCTGTATTAGCTGTTTCTGAAATTCATGGTATAGCGTTGTATAGGGTTAATGACATATACTACATTAGTTTGACATATTTATTTTGAAAAAGATTGCTTGTAATGACAACTTTATTTTATGTGAAAATTTTCAGCTGAAGTGAAAAGGGCCATAATTTTTAAAGGCTCCTTAACTAGAAAATATACATATTTACATTACCTAGATTAGATTCTATCTAAAATAAGGCCCATATTCATAAAGCCTTTAAAAAAGTACCAATTTCATTCTGTGCCATTTGTTTATTTCTAATACAAACTGCACCTTAAATATGAATTTCATTTAACACCCAGTCATTTGTATCGAAACCATTGCTAGTTCAAATTCAAAAAAATCAACACAATGGTCGTTAAACGCTATTTCTACATACAACAATTATCATTTAAACTGTGTGGTATCGATTCACTAGCCACTAGACCAGAACATGTACTTAAACGTCCTCTGTTCTGTTATATACCATTATTTTTTGCCACTTCCCATTTTGTGGCCATTATCCATTATGCCTTTGTCAATCGCAATGATTATGTTGAGGTAACCGATTCACTGGCACTTTCCTGTCAAACGCTTTTGGCGATATGGAAAATGATAATATTTCTGATTAAACGTCGTCAATTTGTGAGCATTATACAAAAAGTGCATTCGGGTAATTTAAAGGGTGAGTTTAAATTGAAAATTTATTGGGTAATCTTTGTATTATTGAAAAATTTTTAATATGTTTCCAGCCAAGCGTCTGGAATTACCTATGATTTGTTCGGAGAATGTAAAAGATGTTAAATTTTGTACAGCATATTTTATATCTGTAGCAATTGCTGGTTTTTTTGCTTTTGCTAATCCAGTAATTGAAGCGATATACTTTTATATTACAACGGGGGAAGTGATCTTACGGGTACCGTATAAAAGCAACGTAAGGAATTGAAAGCACAGTTTTACAATTAACTGTTCCCAAGCCCTCGCTTTCTAACTAACTAACTAACTAACTAACTAACTAACTAACTAACTAACTAACTAACTAACTAACTAACTACTAACTAACTAACTAACTAACTAACTAACTAACTAACTAACTAACTAACTAACTAACTAACTAACTAACTAACTAACTAACTAACTAACTAACTAACTAACTAACTAACTACTAACTAACTAACTAACTAACTAACTAACTAACTAACTAACTAACTAACTAACTAACTAACTAACTAACTAACTAACTAAACTAACTAACTAACTAACTACTAACTAACTAACTAACTAACTAACTAACTACTAACTACTAACTAACTAACTAACTAACTAACTAACTAACTAACTAACTAACTAACTAACTAACTAACTAACTACTAACTAACTAACTAACTAACTAACTAACTAACTAACTAACTAACTAACTAACTAACTAACTAACTAACTAACTAACTAACTAACTAACTAACTAACTAACTAACTAACTAACTAACTACTAACTAACTAACTAACTAACTAACTACTAACTAACTAACTAACTAACTAACTAACTAACTAACTAACTAAACTAACTAACTAACTAACTAACTAACTAACTAACTAACTAACTAACTAACTAACTAACTAACTAACTAACTAACTAACTAACTAACTAACTAACTAACTAACTAACTAACTAACTAACTAACTAACTACTAACTAACTAACTAACTAACTAACTAACTAACTAACTAACTAACTAACTAACTAACTAACTAACTAACTAACTAACTAACTACTAACTAACTAACTAACTAACTAACTAACTAACTACTAACTAACTAACTAACTAACTACTAACTAACTAACTAACTAACTAACTAACTAACTACTACTACTAACTAACTAACTAACTAACTAACTAACTAACTAACTAACTAACTAACTAACTAACTACTAACTAACTAACTAACTAACTAACTAACTAACTAACTAACTAACTAACTAACTAACTACTAACTAACTAACTAACTAACTAACTAACTAACTAACTAACTAACTAACTAACTAACTAACTAACTAACTAACTACTACTAACTAACTAACTAACTAACTAACTAACTAACTAACTAACTAACTACTAACTAACTAACTAACTACTACTAACTAACTACTAACTAACTAACTACTACTAACTAACTAACTAACTAACTAACTAACTAACTAACTACTAACTAACTACTAACTAACTAACTACTAACTAACTAACTAACTAACTAACTAACTAACTAACTAACTAACTAACTAACTAACTAACTAACTAACTAACTAACTAACTAACTAACTAACTAACTAACTAACTAACTAACTAACTAACTACTAACTAAACTAACTAACTAACTAACTAACTAACTAACTAACTAACTAACTAACTAATAACTAACTAACTAACTAACTAACTAACTAACTAACTAACTACTACTAACTAACTAACTAACTAAAAACTAACTAACTAACTAACTAACTAACTAACTAACTAACTAACTAACTAACTAACTAACTAACTAACTTAACTAACTAACTAACTAACTAACTAACTAACCTAAACTAACTAACTAACTAAACTAACTAACTAACTAACTAACTAACTAACTAACTAACTAACTAACTAACTAACTAACTACTAACTAACTAACTAACTAACTAACTAACTAACTAACTAACTAGAACTAACTAACTAACTAAGCTAACTAACTAAAATAACTAACTAAGTAACAACTAACTAACTAACTAACTAACTAACTAACTAACTAACGACACGAAACTAAACTAACTAACTAATAACTAACTACTAAGAAAACTAACTAACTACAACTAACTAACTAAACTAACTAACTAACTAACTAACTAACTAACTAACTAACTACTAAACTAACTAACTAACTAAACTAACTAACTAACTAACTAAACTACTCGTATCTCGGATACCTTTATGGACCGATTTTGCTGATTCTAAATAAGAAACTTAGTCAAACAACATACCTGGCGGGCAGACAGACTGACATTGCTTAAGCTTAATAGCTCCGCTTTATACGGTCGGAAAATTATATTATAGAAATTACAAGGTGAAAGGTATAAAAATGTTAGTTCTCATCCTCATGAACCATGCTCTACGTGTTTACAAAATTTTGTCCAAATCGGGGACTATGGAAAAATACTTTTAACTTTACAATTTAATTCCTCTAAAACAAATAAAATTCGACAAACATTTATCAATTCAACGATCTACGCTTAGTCGTTTGAATGCCCTAATAGATGTACAATATGTAGATTAGTCAATAGCCTAGTTCTGGTTAATATATTACTCAAAATGCTACTCAATATCTTAAACAATATACTAGTCAATAGACTGGTCTAGTCTATTGACCAATAATCTATTAAATAAACTAGTTAATAGACTAAACAATACACTAGTCAATGGACTAGACAATAGTCTATTTCGTAGACTAGTCATAAAATAGATCATGGACTCATAATTCTTCAACTTGTTTTCTTTCAGTTACTTTTGGCCTCACTCAAAATTGCCTGGTTACTCCCTGGTATATCTTTGGAATATACTCAGCATCTACAATCTCTTTGGCATAACATTGGCCATCGATACACTATTCACGTGGTTGGTCAGTAATATTTCGGCTCAATTCCACATACTCTGTTTTCGTTTTAAAAACACCGCCGATACATATAGTAAGTCATCGGCAACAGCAGCAACAACTGCCAGTGGCAAAGCCAGAGATTCATTGAAATTCTTGAAAAACATTAAGTCATGCATACAATTTCACAATCAAACTCTTGAGCTGACTGAGAAATTAAATCAAGTTTATGGTGAAATTATTTTCATTAAATTCATCATTTCCTGTTCGGAAATATGTTGTTTGGTTTTTCGCTTAAGTCGTCCCAGTGAATCAATGGCGGCAGCAGCATATCAGTGTTTGTTTCTCATAACAGTGGCAATGCAATTGATTTTGTATTGCTACAATGGTCAGAGGATAAGAGATGAGGTGAGTATTAAGTGGAGTTTTCATTAAGTATGCTGTATTGGTTCTTATTATTAGAGAAATTAAAATTCAAAATTTTCTAAATAATTTTCACTTTTAAAGCTTAATTAAAAAATACTTTATACAAACTGTTATAACATTTTCTAGTTTTTAAATTTTGTTTTGTCATCTAGTAATTCGTTGGGTTTCATTTCTGTTTTTTCCCACTTTTTGTTTGCTGTTCCATTTACAGAGTTTGCAAGTGACGCCGGAAATCTATTTTGCATTTGACTGGACTCATTTACCAAAATCATGTAAAAAATTACTTTTAGTGCCCATGATGCGCTCACAAAAAAGTAGTCAATTAAAAGCAGTACTTTTTATCGTGGACTTGAGTTTATTTCTATGGGTAATGACACATAAACAACTATCAGTGGCATTTGCTAGCAAAATGACTTTTGAATGTGAAAATAATTAAACTATTTAATTGTTGTTGTTCTTGTTTGCATTTGCAGGTCTTTAAAACGGCAGGATCTTTAATAACAGCACTGAAGACTTTAGATGAAAATCAAGATTAGAAGTGGAGAAATGGAGTGTTATTTTATTAAATCTATTGACTAGACGAAGGAATAATTAATTGACAAGGCCATTGACTAGTGTAATGACCAGTCGATTGTCTGGTATATTGACTAGTCCATTGAAAGGCCTATTGACTAGTCCCTCAGTAGACTATTTACTAGTCTATTGATTAGTCCATTGATTAGTCTATTGCTTAGTTCATTGGCTAGCCTATGAACTTGTCTCTTGACTAGTCCATTGTTTAGTTAATGTG